TGATCGCTTTTGAATGACTTGGGCAAGGATGCTTGACACTGATAACGATCGAGCTAGTACAACACTTGTCCATCTGTCAGATGACTCGTTTGTCCATTTGTCAGAGGATCCGTTTTTACATCTGTCAGATGACAGGCTCCTTGTGTCCACCCAGTTAGATGACTTATTTGATTTAAAGTGCCACTTAAATGTAGTTTAGTATATGTAAAACGTAGTGGTACATGACAAGTTGCATATGAACACATAGAATTATACTGGTTGTAGTAATCTGTGGCTCTTGTGCGTTCATTAAGTGTTTAATCCTTCACTGAATCAGTAATTTTTACGTAAATAAACCTTCTTATTGGTGTTTGTACATTATTCTATTTCATCTTAATGTGCCTCACATTCCTTTAATTCAATTTTTGGCCTGACAGACGTTATGAGCCTTGCACAAGAGGGTACACAAACATGACTTGCACGTTCTGGAACGCTCCTTCTTGCACGACTGACCTAGAGGTCACAGCTTCGCATCAATGAACTCCCCAAGCACAGCGTGACCAAAAAGATCATGCCTCGGTAGACGTATGGAATCGTTGACTTATTACTTGGACCCATGTATATGTTTAACTAGTCCAAGCCTGTTGAGCAAGGACTTTGAGGGACTTTAACTTGGGATGCATTCTCAAACAGGATATAGAGTCAAAAATAGGTCTTAAATTTAAGATGGAAATATTGTGTTTATTTTGACCTGAGAAAGGTTTAAATTACTGTATACATTAATGTTAAGCAACTCCTTACCCAAAACGTTGGCCACTTCTCAAGGTACCATTAATGTAGTTCTACCAAAACGCAATGTATCCAGAATCAAAATGGAATAAAATTCAGTATTTAGATTACAACCAACCTTCTACCGAGGTACTTTGTCTAACCAACCCTGGCACACGTTTGGTGTTGCTCCTTGATTTTGCGTTACAAGTATAATGAACACATGCTGAAAAGTTACAGAACATTCGAACCTCGGTTTACATTCTGTATATTGAGTCATTCATCATGTGCATGAATATAATTTGGATGGCATTTCTTTGGGTGACCCTGTATTTGACTTGCATGAATGAAATCACTGTAGCCCAGTGACGGCAATTTGGCTTTAGATTATGTATGCGGTTTGTGTACCCAAAGGTGTTGCTTTCCCGCGGTGGTCCGTCAACAGGAAAAGAGTGGCGTAACCGAAACCGTCCACCCTTCCTGACGTAAACCTTGCTAACACGTTACTACAATGTATAGGTTGGAATCGGGAACAAGGCGCGCTTAAAGTGTTGAAACTTTTTACCTTCCAATGTATGCAGCGTTTTCATCGCGTTCAAACAATTACACATTAGCTTAGAAAGTGTGTTTAACTGTTTATCTTAGCTTTCTTGGCCTGAACAGGGTTTTCTTTGTAATGTGACATTAAATGTACGTAGGAGCCAAAGGTTCTGGCATTTTGACATTTCTTCACCCCAGGTCCGGTACATAAATTGATATTTTGTTATAGTTAATTGCCCGTGAAATAAGAGTTTTCAATACTTTTAGAACCTATAGTAAACAACAGACCGACTCAGCGGTGTAAGCTATTTTGAGCAAACACGCTAAAAATGCAGGCTATTAAAGTGCACTTTTATCATTTTGTAGAGTGCTTTTTCGTGAATGGTTCTTAAGCGCACTTTATTTGTGACACTTGTGTTAGGCTTTTTTCATGACTGGTGAAATTATCCGTGGGGCTTCATAAAAATATTAGGCTATATCATTCAGTATCAGTATTGAAAAGAAACCGAATATTAACTGTAATAAACTAACGGTGCGATGGACTATCAATTAGTTATCTAGTGCTTGAATCTAATTATTCCCAGAACATATTTGTTGAACACACATAATTGCAATTTGCGTTTTGCGCAAAATTTGCCATCGTGCCGAACACGACAGTTTAGTATTCTTTTGGAACCAGAGCGTGTCATCATTATATGGCGATGAGATTTCGCTCCATTTACTTCTGATGGACAGTTATGATATGTTTCATACATCGAGGTTCAGCCTTCATGACCGGCAGAATCTGCTTCTGGGTCTAAATTTGGTCAAGGTATTAATGGTCCATCTTTAATGGCAAAGACAAAATCCTGAAGGTGGTTTCTATATGATTTCAATACTCTGCAGCATAAGCAAAGGCCATATACTTATCTTAGCCCCAAGACATGGATTTGATACTTATTTAAGGCTAGTATATTTCAACAATGCACAGAGAATATGCACCGAACATTTCTTTTAAAAAACGCCGTCAGATCTCATAACCTTTAGAATTAAAGTACAAACCCCCACAATATCAACACACGCTATCGAAAGAAAATCGCTGGTTTATCTTTCTTACGATTGCAGGGATTTTAATATTCCTTTTCTAATCTTCAAAATGTGTTTGTCAAACTTGGTCAATTTCCGTCTACATCTTGCCACCACATGGTATATTATTAATGTTTCTTGATTTGTGCAGCAGACGGTAATCTTGGCTGAGCCGCCTTATCGGGACGTTGTAGCCAGGGGGGCAGTTTACCTGAAACAACGTGTCTCGCCACATAGACACATTGGTCAACAGAGACAACTTGGTCTGATTTTAGCCAATGTGTTAATACTTCAGTTGATATATTTTCTTTGTGATGTTACATTTAATTGAGTAAACTTCGAAACACGGTGCCCACGTCGCGCGTGCTTTTACAAAATATTGTAGATGGATCTGACGTTCATTCCTGAGCGCGGTTCTGAATCTTGTTGTACAAATGCCAGGGTCGCCAGTGGTTGCGTTTGTATTCCGGATTATTTGACATCATTTGACATGTTATTGGCGCGTTCGATACGTTTCACGCTGTTTAAGTCACAGCATTAATCCTACACGTGTCAAATCAGCGCAGGTAAAACAAAGTTTAGTTTTTTTATGTAAGGGTATGTTGTTTAGCGAGAACTAGATAAGCCTTTGTGAAGGGGATTATCTTAAATGCAGCTTGAAGAAGGTTAAAAGTATCTCAAGCATTCCAGCATTTTCATCGGTTCTTTGGGTCATAGCTTTAACTTGTAGCATAAGCTCATTCAGAAGCACTCGTGAATGCACAATGATGCACGCACACATAAACACACTAAGATACGAACACGCACACACACACACACACACACACACACACACATTTGCACAAGCACACATATCTGCAGACAAACTCACACAGGCCCGCGCACACACATACGCACACAAACACTTTCAAATGTCACTGTAGGCCTATTGACGTGGGTTTAGGATATGTTCGATAAGCATTAGAACATTATGGCTGACACTTATTATATTCGCAAATCCCGCAGAATATTGCTTCAATCCATCACTGAAAAAAAACACAACGGGGTTTCAATTGCTTGATCATTAGAGGGCGAATTTGTGTAGTTAAGGTTCCACATTTCCTTAACATTTGCATTGGAACTCACACTTAGCTCAAGCAAATAAAAACAGTATATTGGGTGCCTAAACTATTTAAAACCAGGGTTTTGTATTTTCTTCAAGATCCTAAGCAAATATTGATAAGTTGCTGGTTGAGATGTCACAGAGTCAATGTTTACATTCCAAACGTTTTTTGATGGTTCCCGTGCTATGTGATGGCATTTTAGAATGACACAGGAATAATTCACTGGCGTTTTCTACCATTTCATCTACACCTTTTTGGGCCTTTCTCAAATTGTATAAATAATACGCCCAGAACCCAGTTCCTTGATTGCAGTCCCTTGCCTGAAACCCACCTTAAAGCCCGCTGACAAATTTAGCCAGATCGGAAACAAACAACCAAACAACTGCTGCCAGAAGTTTGGCTTCAAACGATTTCAGTTGAATCTGGTAAGAACCAGTCTTGAGATAGCAGGTAAATATTTACCCTGGTCACAGACGGGTGATTCAAGATGGTCCCAAAGCCCCCCTCGGGCACCCACACCTGGGTCTCTGTTTGCTGACGCGGGTCTGTCACGCTGCAAAACCAGTTAAGCGAAACTGAACACACAGATCCTCTGAACAACTCGATCTCATCCCATTGTTGGGAACGAAAGCCTGATACCGCAACCTCTGAACGGCTAGTTTGGCCCAGTGCAGAGTTCATCGTGAGGACACCTACGCCTGCCACCATACAGACTCTTAATACCCTGTGTACCCAGACCAAGTGTACACACCTGGCCTTTTTTTTTCAACAGCTTAAATAGGCAAGACACGGGGTTAAGCGAATAGCCCTGGGGCTCGGCCATATCATGTAGAGCACCGTAGCGATCTTTGCTTTATGCTGGGACAAAATCCAATATGCCGTGGGTTGGTGTGTGTGAATGAGCCAGATGGATGTCCAGGGTGAAAAACTGGAGCTAATGGCCAAGAGTGACGTTTTTTCATGTCAGACTGGCAATTCGGTCGACCTTTAAGATCAAATAAAACCAATCACATTTTCAAATAATCGGTAAATCCAGTTGGGTTGAAGTAGTTATCAGTTAATAGGTAAATTTACATGAATTTTCCGGTTTAAGGCTACACCCTTCTAACAAATTAAACTGATTATCTAATTGTGTAATGTACTTTTTCTCTTCGTGACAAACACAAATTCAGGGAACTCATTCCACAGTTCAGCTCTGTTTTCTGTTTTCTGGTGTGTACAATACAGCAAATTACTTTTCTCAAAATGGAAACGTGCAGGCGTATATTAGCGCAATGAAATTTTGCTTCATTTCTTCCTGACAGGTATAAAAACGTTTAATTTTCGTCGGCTAAAAAAAACGGTAAGATTTAATGACAAATTAACTTTGGTTCAAAGCCATTTTAGGAAGGCTAAAGGATAATGGCAAAGAAGTTGTGTTAATATTTACAAAGGTGTTTCAATTGCGGCGCGATGGATATGAAATAATAGTCGATTTTTGGCTCTTATTAACAGCCTTGTTTTATTGGCCATTGTTTGGTTTCATAGCAAACAGACATCTCATCTGAGAGCCATCTACAAAACGAGCATCGATTACGACAACACACTACTTCATTTCTGTTCAATTGTACAAACATTTATTTCTGTCCCAAACTTTCTTCTTTTTAACAATCTGGTTCAATCACGCTAAAGACACATCTGGCCTCTAGATAATTACTCCGTACTGTTAAAGGACTTCATGAAATATTGAGGCCATAAGTCCCATTGTCCCGGGGCACACCGCCTTTAAGTGGGGACAACAATTTAAACTTCGATCTGTTTTAATGTAACTAGTTGTGGTGTTAAACAAAATACAATGAAATCGCTTAAACAAATGCCCTCTGGTTTCTCTGTGACCTTGCAATTTGGCTCTCATCCAACATCGTGACTAATTAATCAGTCGTTTAAACAAGGCTTCTTCAAAATATCGTAGATCAACGTGCCGCCACAGAGATGCACCCACAGAGACAACGTTAAACCCATCTCATACTAGTTCACTTGACGTCATTACAGTCAAACCATTGCCAGCCCAGCGGTGGTCAGTCTGATGTATTAGAGTGCAGTTATAACCCTGAGATATACAAATTTCGTAACTACACTGATTATTTTTACTGCAAATGCATTGTCATATATATGTTACAAGTTAACAATATACACTTCTGCTCATAATGTTGACTCTATCAGGCACCCTGAAAGCCAAAAAGTTCGAATTCAGGTTTGAGGAACGGATGGTCCCCAAACCGACTGACTTGACATAGCGTTCGTTATTTAGTGGAGGGGAGTCTCTCAGTTTGCGCTCCTGCGCTAGTGACTCGGAAAAGAACAGCCTCGTATCTTTATCTTTTAACAAGTTGTACAGATTGTCTCGAGACTTAGGGCTGAGATTGACGCCATTTTCGCGCTTTTCGTTGTTGTTGTACTCGCGGTGCGATGGTGCACAGCGATTGTTGGGTGTCGTCTGCTCAACTTTTGCTTGCTCCTTTGGGTTTTCTTTTGGAACGACGGTGGAAACGCTGGTATTATGGCATTGCGGGATGCCTGGATTGCGTGTACTCGTACCCGCACCTTTCTGAGAGTTCGGAATTGACGCATGTGCATTAGACACATTGTTTGTGGTTTGCTCTTTGGCTCCATTCTTGAAAAGCCGCCCCATAACGCGACTTGTTCTGAAACTATGTTTCAGTTTTCTCAGAGAAAGTCTGCTTCTGCTTTTTTCGTCGTTGCTAAACCTGATAAAGTTGCCGTCCTTGCATGGCATGGCTGCGTTATGATCTATTAATGAAAGTTCTGACACAGCTCGTTTTAAAATTCCATTTCGACTAGGAAGCTTTGGAGGAGTAGGTTTCACAGTCATGTGGCCACCGTCGTAACTGATGACATCATCATCACGGATAGTCTCGTAAATGGGTTCTTCCGCGAGATATTCGCCCAGATCATATTCCTGATGAAACCCTGAATCTGAACTGAAGGTGCTTTGGCCACCTTCATTTGAGTTCAAAGAGCAGTCAGTTTTCTGGCCATAGGGAGTTTTGCTCCTCTCGATCCCTAACCCGTCATCCGTAATGATCATACCACTAGACGACTTTCTATGAAGATTTTCGTAGCTGCTGAGATTCATCATGCTTCCGTAATACGTAAGCGTCGATTTTGTAGAATCTACAGACTGCAAAGACACCATGGATGCCTCGTTAGTATTATGTTGAATGTCCCGTAAAGAACACCCCCATGGGGTATCCTCACCTCTCGCGTGCTGGGACGCATTTAGGTGGGTTTCCGAAGCAAAGCGGCGCAGTCCTTGCCTTGCAGGAAGCGGTCGGTGGGCTGTGCTAAGTCCATTTGCCCTTTGGGCATGAGACGGTGAAACGCCGGTGCGATCCTTACTTGACACGGGCTCAAGGTATTCCCCATTATCGCGGCGCCCGTCGACAAGGAGTTCGTGTCGCGACGAGGGTAGGGAAGCGTGCATCGTCGCGTGCTTCTTTGTCTGTGACACATTAACGTCATTTTGTACCCTCGTACGGAATATTTGCTTGTCACACGGTTGCTTTGTCACTCCATTGTTAACTGATGATAACGGCGCTCTGGTGACAAGACTGATGTACGGTCTCCTTTCTAATTCCTTCTCCTTGCGTGTTCTCATTGCGCTGTCATCAACAAACGCGTGTTCGTCGGTGGGGACTCCCGCTGTTTGACGCTGCCTCTGTCGTGCTGAGTTAGTCATGCTTTTGCAGGCGTCAACGCAGTCCACATTCTGTTTTGAACTCATTTCGTGTCTTGGCGTCTTTGATTGTGGGGTTTTCGCGTTCTCCCTTGCGTGCGAGGTATGTTCTGGTCGCAGATCTCGGATAATTTGGTGCATAGAATGCGTGACAGTCGACAGCTTGTAATTGTGTTCTTGCACTTGGTTCAACACCGAACTTTTGTCCATCAAACGTGCACCAAATGGCACCATCTGTGGTTTGGATGATGTCACCCGTTTCTGATGATGACGTCGATGTCTTTTTTCATATTTATGTCGTCTACGCTGCTCTGTTTTATCGAACGCCGTGAGATAACTGTCCTCGTTCTCGAGATCGTAGAATTCAGGCTCCCCAACGCCCCCAGTGACGTCATCCGTGTTGTCACCTGAGGGCACGTTCGGCGGAGACATATTTTTGTCGCTGTCATAACCGCTAGATGTCGTCACTGGTGACGACTGCAGCACGTGTTTTAGTTCTCTCTTACGATTAACATGCCCACTTCCTGTGTCTCCGTTTCGCTTAAATTTACGAACATTGTTATCTATGGTATTCTCACTATTGTCCACACAATGTTTGTTTAATTCTCGCGATTTAGACGGCTTCTGCCGACATCTTTCTGGAGACTTGATCCCTCTAGCAGTTTCTTTTCTTCCAGACCGATCGCGGTGTATTTGGTCAGATGTTGAACGTTTATCATTGCAGACGCGTTGATCAGTGTGCGTTTCAAGTGGAAGCGCTTTTTCTTTGCAACGTTTTTGTTTGGCCTGTTCCTGAGCCACAGGTCCATCTGCGCCCGGTAGTCCATCAGGTCTTGGGATTTCTCAGGGTGCTGAATGTGCATGAAGTCCTCAAACGTCACGTACAGGAGCCACACCTGATTGGTCAAATCGTCACCTTGGTTACGGAGTTCACACTGAAATGAGAAAACAAATCGCTGACGTTACATTACGTCGGATTACGTGGGGGCGGTGGCTGAGTGGAGCGACTGGTGTTTACGCAGGGCTGTACTGTGTAGCAATACAAACAGGAAGTCAGGCCAGAACACTAGCATGACTGAATAGCTCTTCACTATGGTTTACTTATGTAATGTCATTACGGGCTACTTTACCGCAGACTTTAGTCAACATTACGTATACAATAGTCAACATGGTAGCATATTGTACCTAATGTAACTCACAACAGCGCGAGGAAATGAGATGTGCCTTAACACACATTTACGTTTGAAGAAGAAAATAAGATTCAAACAAAAACGGGGGACTGAATCGTTGGATACCATGTCGATTGGCATATATCATGATTTTCCCGTTTTCATTTGATTGCCTGCGATATAAGTGAGTTGGTCATTTCATCCCGCTTTTTTTACATCTTCACTTTTCAGTAATGAGCAAATGTAAGGCGAGTCTTACTTTGAAAGAACTTTCAACACAGATTTATACCATTGCCATTACGTATTAATTTCAGTTTCATGAGAACGTGTGACAAAATACGGTGACACATTTAATGGACGTATTTGTTGAACACCGAGTGACCAGAGGCAAGGAAACAAAAACAACACCAAAGTTATGTTTGCCTATATCGCATACATCATAACACTGCCGGCTACGGCCTAACAACCTCATGTCATGATACACCATTGAGGAGTATCGGTATCCGCAGGTCTAAGTCATCAGTTATGGAAATGATTTTTGCTGAATCATTTCAATTTTTATAAATGAATGACAAAGGTTGTCAGCAGAATTTGCTACGTTGCAATATTTTTCCTAATCCCAACCTGCACTTTGTATCATTTATTTTGTTGTATCTACAGAACATCTAAGAGAAAAAATGTTTATATTAAACGTCATCTAAACCATTTTTTTCAATAATGTGCACTGACATTCTTTGGTCAGCAGCTTCAAAATTGCGTTATAAGATACGACTTTCTGGTGATTTTTTGGGGTTTCAAATAAGGTAGTTAATGCCTTACTGTCATTGTACACAAACTCCAGAGAAACCAATAACAAGAAACAAATACTCTTTGAGGCATGTGGTAAACAAGGGTCAATGACCACCTGGGCCAAACCAACAAACTGGAAACTAATTAATTACGTCTTCATTAACCTTTGCTCGTTATGATTTGACGACAGTCACAGAGGAACAATATACACATACTACATACCCAATGGCAGACTATCCGATCGACTATTTCATATATCTGAATATCCAACCACAGAAAAACAAATTAGTAAACGCCTTTGCCAGTCAGACAAATGTTTCAGAGTCCTATAAACTTTGATGGCCAGCGTCCGTGAATCCCTGACCCTCGTGTAGCAGGTGCCTGACCAATGACCAGTACCAACCCCACCTGTTCTACATGCTTACGACCCTTAACTGATTATCCATTCGAACTCAATGAGCCACATAAGTTCCAGTGTGTTCCATTGAACCGAATGTTTGCACTCGACAATAACACAGATCAACGCAATTGGACAATACCAATAAATATGTATACCATGTACGCCACTCTGTGAGGGTGTGTGCCGGGTTACCATAAGCTTAATGATCAAACCGCGGGGTTGTTGATCCCCGGGGGCAATTTACTGTGATATTTGATATAAGATTCATCGCCGGTTAAGGGTTATGTAAGCACGTGTTTACCCCGCCTAATATCCATCCTCTCGTACCACGATGTGACGGATCAGAATCGTCGCTGTGATAACATTGATTTTACTTAAGAGGGAATGAGGGGAAAAGAGGGTTGAAAACAACGGCTCGGTTTTATCTCGAGGGCCCGTCAATGGGCCGTTAAGATGTGTGTGTCTACATAGGCTCCCAATTGCTTCTGTGTTGGGCCCCATTCTTCGGTTTCACACTGAATATATAATGGACGAGAGGTGTGCTTGGCACCTTGATAGAATTGACAGCTTGTCATAGATCGGTCTGAACAGCTTTTTGAACCCCCTTCGATTGTCATGTCCTTTCCGTTGTTACTTATGCCGTTCATGTGATGTATTGTGCGAATTGTGGTGGTTTTCCTTTACACTTCGCCCTGTCACGCCACCTTTGACATTTCCAAAATGGAGGTCACGCCCGTAGGTTAAGTGAACACAGAAAAAAAACGAGATTCATTGTCGGTCGCTTTTGGGAGATGACAGGTACACAAACAAGCAGCGACCATTGTGTTCAGCATCCTTAGAGGTAATTAAGTTGTAAAATCTGACACTTCAAGGACCAAGTGGTCTTTTCTCTGCAACCTCCATTTGCCCACGCCTTAAGGAAATGGCCATCTTGTACTCGTCGCCGCAGACGACATTCATTCAAAAAGAGCGATTATCATTCCATCATTATGGTTAGCCATTATAATTGGAACTTATTGGTTCTGTCTCTTTTGAGGGTTTGGGCTAAAGAAAACGCTTTCCTCTTTGGCACAGTTCTTATCCATTTATCTGAATTGTTTTGTGAAAAGTTTTAGTTGTGGAAAAAAACTAAATGATTAAATCAAACGTATACAACTGTCGTCTGCCGTGATATATGAGCTTCGGTCGTGGGAGGCGTCTCTTTATAAGCCGTTCTAAATATGTCTTGTTGCATTTATGTACATTCTTTTCCCTTCCATAAAAAGGTCGGATACTATAACGTATTTGGGGGGAATTTCGTGCCACTTGTTTTCATGCATTTAAAGTGCAGATATAGTGTTACCTGATTAGGAAAATTCACATAACCTGTTTCTATGTATAAAAGAGCGGATACAGTAACGCATTTCGGGGACACGTTCTCGTTTGCATTGTTACATGCTGAGATGAAAAGACAGTTAATCGCACTAAACGCCGAGTTCATCTCGTGGGAGACAACTTTTCAACCCAGGCAAAACCCAGACGACAATGACAAGGTAGCAAGTGCGTTCGGTACTCACCTAAAATAACTTGTAAATGCAAGGTGACTTAGGTCCCCTTTTCTTTCCACTCATATCTCTTAATTATCTCTTCTGCCACTGATGAAAATTCAATCAAACAAGTCTTTTTTCCATCCTTGGCTAAGCAAGAATAATCTAATGAAAGAAGCCAATCTTTTTTGAGGTTTTTAAGTGCATGAATCCCTCCCGTTACGTTCCCACCAGATAAGCCTAGAATCTCATCCTCCATTGCCCTCGTATCTTACTTACTGTTTGAACATGTAATAATGTTGTCGAAGTCAAATAAAAGATTGGATTTTAAACGTATCGAAATCATAATTTACCAGCTTTGTGTTGTAAGGTGAGATAAGACAGTCGCAAGGCCCGTCCTTTAAGTCGTTATACCATATATTCCCAAGGTACCACCTATCGTAATCTGAATATCATAATTTCGGTGCTTACGTTGCTCAACTATCGGATAAAGAACCTAAACAAAAGGATGAAGGTATCTTACTGTTGACACTCCAGTGCTAATTTTCCTGAGTGATAAGATGATATTGAAGATCTGTTTCTATTTTGTACCCCCGAAGTGTTAAAGTCGACATCACACTTCCGCGCCATATCTTCAAATTGAGATAAGAGAGGTGCTGACATCTCTACCATATCACAGGTAATATCCTATATACACAAACCACGATAAATCGTTCGCTATCGATCTTTAGTTGTTATCCATAATCATGTTCTTTGCGTCCTTTTTTAAAAAAGGATAGCTTTGACCTCTTCATCGCGAAGAACTAAGGTTCGAAAGATCGTCAAATATTTGTATACCGCGTCAGAAATCTGTCAAGGTATCTGTTGGGCACTAAGAATAGCATATTCATGCTTTTTTCTTAACTTATTTTCTTTACATCATTTTCTTTTAAAAAACAACAGCTAAATATCATTATAGAAATCTATTTTATGTGGGGTGACCCCCCTCCCATTTCCAGTGCCTATACTATTCGCCCTAACACACCTTAACTTTCTGAACCCAGACAAAAATCAAACACGGTCGGTGTTTTAACACAGGAAGTGATATAACCCATTAAACATACCTTGAACCGGTGATAACATGTAGTCAAACACGATAATCCAACAAAAGCGATGCCCATGAGACCCGCTCTGAAGAGAGCTGCAGGAGAGAGGTTCTATATGTTTAGTGCTTATCTAAGTAGGGGGCAAGAGGCTAATATGATTTACGCAAAGAGTCCATGTTTTCAAAACAAGATTACCTGTTTGTTCAATTCTACCGGCACTCTTGACAAAATGCACAGGGCTTTGGGGATTGTCGGGAGGTTATGAAAGAAGGACTGCGTATCATAACAAGTTCTGCCGTGTTTTTGAAGGTTCCAAAATGGAATTTTGATAGAATTTGTTTAACGTGATTCGTTTAGTGTTTGAATGTGGCCTGGGAATTTCGCCGAATGAACAACAACTAATGGCTTCTTGATGACTTTTGGTCACCTTGCCCCCAAAGATAACATTTCATAATGAACGCGGAAATTATTTTGTCATAATAATTTCCTGTGCACTTGTAAGTAAACTTATCCCGAGAACTCTTGCAGTTTTTGCAGTCGATGAATATACCGAACAAATATTACAGTCTGAAAGTTTTATGTAGATGATTGAAATACAAATGAAGAAATAGCAAATTATCATCACGGTCCAACGATTGCACCAGATTATTTACAATGCAATGTCGACTAAATACATTTTAGTTAAAATGTAGATCCGGATATTTCTGTCCTGGAGCTGAGTACATAAATTATATTTCATATCTGAATTAACTACGCTTCGATAGGTCCCTGATTCTGCCATTACAATCTTTTCATAAAACAGCGCTTGTCCTGATTTCATTTCTACAGTAAGTAAATTCATTCAACAGTCTTTCAGAACTTTCCTGCACGCTAAAAAGAAAGGAAAAAAACGAATGTGTCCATTGTTAGGCTATTAAGTTCGGTTCATGTATCCCTTGTGCTGATTAGTGCGCCCTTTTCACGTGG